CTCTCTCTTTCTGTCTCGCTCTCGCTCTTTCGCTCTCTCGCTCTCTCGCTCTGTCGCTCTGTCGCTCTCTCGCTCTCTCGCTCCCTCGCTCGCTCTCTCGCTCCGTCACCGACGACGACACGCCTGCTCGACCCTGCAAAGCAGCTGATGTTTCACTGGTGACGGCAAACTGCTCAATATTCTGCTGTCTGAAGCTCTAGTGTGACTTGAAAGGGAAGTGTACATGTACTTTGCGATTTGCACTTGCTTTCCTTAGATGCCTCTACCCCTGCCCACACGACATGACTACAACCAGCGCACTTTTGTCAGTGGAACAGGACTTTATCAAGCATCTGCAGCCTGCGCTTCTTTCTGTTTCTAAGCAAGATAGTGTCGAATGTGAAACTGAAATACACGGTCAGGGCCATCCAAGGAAAAAGTGCTACGTATACTTCAGGACGAGTCAGGCGCTCCCGGAATCAGAGGAACAATGCACGTACACATTCAGATGTTCTTGGATTTTCGCCCGGGCCGAATCACTGGGCTGATGTTTCTCAGCCGGAAAGGTGTGCGCCTGCACACGGTCTGAACGCTCTTAGGCAGCGGCGGAGCTCCGCTTTGCTTTCGTCTAAGAACAGGCCCGGAGCTTGAGTTCGTCTCCCTTTCTCGCATGGCCCTTCGAACTGCTCGCCCTTGCTTGAGTACCCAAAGGGTAGCCTTGGCTGGCGCCGCGCCGGGCACGGTCAATTCTTGACACCACGTGCGCCACGCACGTCTCGGCAGGATGTCCGCAACATTAGCCTGTAATCCCCGGCGGATCACCTCCGACTGCCCAGACTGCCTCTGCAAGGGCCCTATGGGGCGGAGTGCGTCTCAGATTTATCTATTAGGTGTGTACAACAGTACATAGCTTTCAGCTGGACACTAGTCTGCCTACTGACCGCGCTTGGGACGCCTGTCGTTCAGCGATCTCAAAGTCAAAAAAAGTCGCTCTCTCCCTCTCTCTCTCTCTCTCTGTCTGTTCCTTCTTTCCTTCCTTCCTTCCTTCCACGCTTAAGAGGGCCCCCTCTCTCTCTCTCTGTCTCTCGAAAAGCCAAGAGCGCACATGACTCGCGGAGAGCCCTCTCCGAGCGCCCGACGCTGGAAGAATCGAATGCCCGTACCTTTTGAGCCACTCTCCCAAAACATACTCCGTCCTTGCTTGCGGCTTAGGAGCTTCTAGGGATCATGTGCCGATTCTCTTTTTGCGGTGGGCAACTGCGAACTTCCAGTTTGCAAGCATACATCTCATAATCACTGCGCAACCCTGCCCTGGCAGCGGCCTGGGTCATCCACTGTGACCTTTCGTGTGCAACGTCGCCAACATTTAGGCGAGCTTTGCAACGGCTTGCAGTATAAGGGGTAGCTGGCTTCTACAGCTGCACGTAATGTTCTGAAGATCTGGCTTGCGACCACACAGCAGACCGGATAGCCAGCTAAAATCGAAAAGCCGTTCACAGAACCTCGAAGCTCCAGATGTAGCCCGGATGTAGAGCCCTGTGCTAGAGGGACCTTATGGAAGCTCGAAACTACAGCTCGACCAGCAGGCCGCCTTGGGTCGTCAGTGGCACCTCCCCGCCCCAAACACACAGCCTGATACACTTATGCACCCACTGTCACCATAACACACCCAGTGCCCGGATCAAACCACCTCGATGAACCGGAGTGAAGCTGTGAAGCCACCAAATTTCTAAAAAGGGTTCCAGAAGAGCTCCAGAAGAGTTCCAAGCCTCGAAGAGGCGGCTGAAAGCGTTCGTCGCCTTCGCCCCGACTCCGTTGCGGCCGCCCGTGAAGCGAATCTGAGGGCTCAGAAAACCAACCCGAAGACCCCTTAGAGCCCAGCAAGCATGAACCCTCTCCCCCACCCTCAAAGAAACCGGCGTATCTTTGCTGCTACCTGCTATTTGTGCACCACCATGTGAGCTTGGTGCTTCGTTGTGATTCACTTGGCTCTATATAGATGAGATGTCGAGTCTACTCCAAAAAGCGTTGCGAGCACTCTTACGGTTCAGGCTTGCGGTGCTCACCTGTTTCAGGGGCCCCGATGGATGGATGCCTTTGTGTCGTTGAAGTTGTCGCCGCTGAGGAACTCGCCGAAAACCAACGTTGGGACCTGGAACCCTGTTTCCAGTGTGGCTTCAGCATCAGGTGTTTGGGGCCTTTGGGGCACGTGCCATACTTTCAGGAGACCTATTCTAGGGTGGGGATGAAAGGCCAGAATCCGACCGACCAGGGCTGCTGCATAGTGGCCCGACCTGGGCAGGGGACCCGACATTGGTGGGTGGGCTACAGCTCCATATCAGCTAAGCCGCCTGTGAGTGTCACTTCGAACTTTCTTTTGGCCCTGTATAGAACATATCCATCACAGTCATCACAGCTGATGTGACCCTCATCTGTCTGAAAAACAAATCAAGCCATCAGCAGGAGAACTGCATTTCATGCACGAGAGGTTGTGTAAGGCTGTGTAGAACTGCGCTAGAACTGCTATCCAGTGGCTCGTGCATCTCGATAGGGATGGGCCCACCATCGTTTGAGATGCTGATCCGCCCCGCCTTGTTCGCGCTGGGGTTTGGGGTCGGCTGTGCTGCGGGGGAAGAAATATTTCAACTTTGGGACTTTGAAGGTTGAAACTCCAGCCAGCCAGGCCGTGAAAATAGATTCTAACCAGCACGGATTGTCATGGATCACCTACATGGGCCCATTCTCGTAGAGCGCGTGGAGGGAAGACGGGCCGAGACTCAATATATGCGCCCGCGTTGCGCGTAATCGACCCTAAGCCCTAAAACCTAAAACCTAAACCCACCAATGAACGACAGGAGGGAGAAGGGTAAACCCGAAACCTTAGCCGCTTTAACCCTGAACCCTGAAGCGTAAACTCAGCACGAACCACAGGGGGGAGAGGGGAAACCGTAAACCTACCATTACCCCAAACCTTGAACCCTGATTAAACTCTAAACCCACAATGAACCAATGGACCAGAGTGAAAATCCTGAACTCTACAGCCTAACCCTAAACCCCTAAACCACAAACCCATGAACCACGGACCATGAACCACAGGGGGGGGGGGGGAGGGGGATAACCATGGGGGGGGGGGGGGGGGGGGGGGAGGGGGGGGTGCGCCTATGCTGGCGCATATAGTATCTGCTGTCATGAAGCCTCTTGACGGGTCACACACCCTCAACATCGGTCCTTCGCATCCACGTCAACTCGAATCTCAGACATACCACCTCGGGGCGAAGATCGAACCAAGAAGATGTTACATGGCATTGCATAGTTGTCGAACAGGTCGAAATGCCCCTTTTCTTGTCTTCTCGAAAGGCCTGAAAGTGGCCTGAACATCATGCCACTAGCAACGTGCCGTGCTTGTTTTTATGGAAGACCGCAAACCACAGACCCACATATACACCGTCACAAGATTCAAGCTTTTTGTCGTGAGGTTCGACTGTCATCAGGGCTTACGGCAATACACTTTCTCACAAGCTCTTGCGTATCCAAGAAGGACGACCAGAACCGTACATCTTTGCCAGGAATCGACAACTTGTCTGGCTGCGTGTAACAAGGCCCCGATCAACCAACACCCATATCACTTGTACTATTAATCGGGGGAGGGGGGGGGGGCTTACTGAACATGAGACAGTTGGCTCTGGAACTGCCGATCGATGGAATTCACCAAGATCTCATTGAAGATCTGTACCTTGAGCTGTCAAGATTTGCAGGCTGCGCTCCAGTTGAATACTGAAAAGTCCAGTCAGAATGCTTCTTCGCCCAAACATCTACCGACTTGAGGGTCGAAAAGTCTGTGAGTGCCGAAGACAGACTGTGGCTATTCGTGGTGTAACTGCTACGGGCACAGAAACATCTGAGTTATCTGGCACGGTTCTGCGGTGAGTGTGGCAAGCCGACATGAACCCCAGGAGAAGTGCAATATGGAGTCGAGAGTTTTGTAAAGGTCTCCCTTAGAGAAAGAAGTGCGTGGAACGAAGCAGAGTTGTGGACAGAATTACCCGGTGAGTACCCACGGGGTACCGACCGGCCAACCCCGCAAAACCCACAAACCCCGTCGCCAGAGATTCATCCAACTCGGAGCGATCTGATCACCAATTCTTCGCTTACCCAGCAAAGCAATCGACACCCTCAACTTTGCATTCTGCACTGCGCCGCCGTTGTAGATGCCATCCTCAAAGGAACTCCACCTAAAGTGCATCTGCCTCCTCTAAGCAATCTGGAAGACCTGGCCCCAAGCTTCAAAAATGCATTCCTGAAAATCATGCGCCTTTTTCTTCAACAAAGCCCTGGGCAGTCTCAATGCAACAGGAGGCTGCGTGGCTAAGCTGCTGAAATGCTGAGCCCCAAAACCCAAGCTAGTTTTCAAAGCCTTGTTCTTTTTCAACCAGGTTCGGAGCCGGGGGGGGGGGGGGGGCAGCTGCAGTGTCGCTGCAAAAGGGCCGAAGAAGCTTAGAGGCTGTCAGGCTATGCCTCGTGCTGTTAGGGAGTCACGCGCCCCAGCACACTGTGCACTCAAGCCCTCAAAACCTGATGTCATGATGACACCGGGCACGTTCAGCTAGCTTTACCATGAACTCGATTAGGGTCTAGGTGGAATGCTGCAATGCTTGGGCATAACGGCGCTGAGATGAGCCGACCATGAGTAAGGCGTAGGTACGGTGTAGGTTAGAGCCGAGGCAAGTCTACGCTGTCAGCGCGTGATCCAAGTCTTCGATCAGGTCATCGCAGTCCTGGAGACCAAGCCCCCCGAGTTACCCCTTTCAAAGCCCTCCAATCATTCCTTCAATCATGTCAAAAAGAGAAACTTCCGGAAACGTCGTGTGTTTTCGCATTTTCGCAATCGCGAACAGCCACGACGTCCTCCACGCCCACGCTGAGCCGCAGCGTCGTGTCGTAGATGCCCACGGATGCCCGCTGCTCCTGTAGTTTCCAAATATTTCCAAGTGCCCGCAAACCTGATGCTGTCAACCCGTCTTCCGAGTCCTTAACCCAATCCGGACAAACACAAACACTCAACAAAAGCCGCAGCAAGAAACACCGTGAAGCATCCCTAAAGCATTTTTAAAGCTTCAAAGCGAGGAGGAGCATGCTGAGGAGGAGCATGCTGAGCATGCTGTGGCCTTCGTCATGGAGCCATGCGACATGGTAGCGCTGTGGTTGATCATGCCTTCCACACAGGGCAGGTGAGATCAGTTGATGGAGTTTAAAACGTTTCCTTGGGGAGTAGAACGCTTGGCGTTGATTGATATTGGGGCTTGGTGCCGAGAGAAATGGGAAGGTAATTGGACAGCTCACTGCGAAATCCATGTTGGGGGTGCTGGTCTGCCAGTGCTTGCAGTAGCGTTGCGCTTTCTGCCAAGGCGCTTTCCACTCCTCCCAGGGACTCGGCCAAAATCCAGAACTTGATCTTGCTGAAGAACCTGTTCGCACAACCATGATAGTATGAAGCTTGTGGGTTCCCGCAACTCTATCCAAGGTCAAAAAATGTTGGTGCCCATCCCGTCGGATTCTTTCGCTCAGCAGCTCTGGCACCCACACCCTGAAGTACGAACCTGAGAGGCCCAGCTCCAAAGCCCAAGTCCCTAAACACCTTGAGAAACAAAGCCCCAGCATTTTCGGTTTGGAAGGCGTGGGATGTTTATGTTCAACATAGGACAGGCTCGGGGGGCTGCACTCCGTGCCTTCGCATCATGTCCAGATCGTCTTCTCCTGGTCGGCCTTGGGGCGAGCACAGGCTTAGGCCCAAAGTGAGCCAAAGAAAGGTGACCCACGTTTCTCACCTTCAAAAAACCCCAAAATAGCCCTCCCCACTTACTCAGAAACGACCCATGCCCTTTGTTTACGAGTCGATTCGACAACTCCGAGCCTTTGAACCGGACGGTGACCACTGCGCCACCCGAGCGCATCTGCCTGCAGAGGGGTTCTTGTTGTGCTGAGACCTTGGGGCCAAAAGCTTGCCGTAAGGGTTCAGGGCATGGGCCTTTGAGGCTTTATTCGTACACTCTTCGCCTCCACCAGACAGACTGAGGACTCCCGAACCCGGCTCCCAAATCCAGAACCTCGAAAACTGCCGGCTACCGCAAAACTGAGCTAAAACAGCCTCCAAATTCCAACTCAGTCCCAAATGCCTTTTGCAGAGCTCATGCTGCGGATGCTTTGTAAGGCCAGGGTAGTGTACCTGAGGCTTCAAGGACTAGGATTACAAGAAGCTTCAAGGCCCGGGCATGAACAGTGAAATTTGAGGATTTTGAGCAGCTTGGGGAACTCAAGTAAGAGGTCTCTGAAGCGACCATTCACACAAAAAAACTTGAGTCTCCACGAACAGGAAAAGCGCATGGCGATCTTTCTGCATGCGATCCAAATGGTTCCAATAGGACATCATTCGATCACGATCGCATTCAGCAGCCCAAACCCTAGACCGCACAACTGACAACACCCAATGCCATCGACCAACTAACAGCCCTGAGGACCGCATCTCCCCAATCCACCCGAAAGCCAGAATGTCCAAAACCAATGAACTACTCCCGGCGAATCCCAAAGCCCCGGACGCATGAAATTCCATCTGCTTGAAACTTGAAAGGCGCGAATCTACCCAGAGCAGGGTCCCCTACCTCGGCGACGCAGGGATGAGCGTCAAGAAACTCTGCAACCCGCTGGGCGCTGCGGCACTGCCTGTCGAGGACTGCATGTGGGAAGGGTGGGCAGGGTGGGCTGCTGGATGTTCGGGGTGCCTCTCTTCTTGTCCTTCTGTTTTCGGAGGAAGGAGGGGGGGGGGGAATTGGTTTTGTATAGCATGAAAGGAAGCCTTTGGCAATTAAAATTGATCGTGGGGAAGCATTTTGCATGTGTAAATCGACTTGTGCATTTTCTGGCTTTCGAGTCATAACTATTCGCATCACCATTGCAGTTGGCCAATGCGGACAACAGGGCCCAGAGCCTCGGCTTAAAACGGAAATAAAAAACAAGAACCCGAAACTCCGAAACGCACAAAGCGACTGCACTCCGGTCTCCGAGTGATGCTTCTCAACACCTCCAAGTCTTCAGGAAACTCTATAGGTCTCTCCCCGAGCTGTTCTCTGTTGACAACTTTGCACTTGATGAAACAAGGCGGAAGGAGCTTGCAGGAGTCCAGTGCTGTAGAACTTGGAACGGAGGCACGAAACACCAAAAGCAAGGCTCTCCAGCCCACGTTGGGCCTCTCCATTCTCACGGAAAGCGTCTTCATGCCGCGCAGCGCTAAGTAAGCCTTCGGGGAAGGCCCGGATCCCCTCAACAAATCCACGCTGCACATTTCCGAAAACACGAGCCATGGCTACTGCTCCCTACCGGGTAAACAGGTTCGGGAGCTATGAGTCCTACACATCTAAACAACCCCGTCCCAGGCTTGCCCCTCTTCCTGGGATGCGAGCTAGGAGCACAGGCAACATGGAGAATACAAATCATATCAATATCAACCTTGGCCACATGGATATACGTCACATCAATATCAACCTTACACTAAGACTCTAAGACCGACGTCCACAACCAGGCTGGACCCCAGAGAGTTTTATTGGGCATGCTTGCGATTCTTGCGTCTGCAGGGCAAGCTTAGCTTGCTTCATTGTATTGCACCATCGGCGAATCGCGGGCTGCATGATCTCTCCAAGTTCGAGAGTTCATACATGTGCAAAACTTTGTGAAGACCGCAGTACTCAGGTGATATTGCCATAAGGGAGTCCCAAGACCCCAAAAGCTACCTGGGAACCCCCTGATCCTACACTTTTTCAAGACTCTCGCAGGCCTCGAAGGGGCTTGCGATGCCGCCGACCGCTTTAGCCAGCGAGCCGAGCCTCCAGGTTCCGAGGGTTGCCAGATGCCAGCACAAGACACAACAAGACTCAACTGACTTGAGACATGGGAACGAACGAGCTCGTTGCATGGCCTTATCAACGAGAGCAAAGAGGTCCGTCTTCAGACAAAAAAACAGCTCCGAACTCTCTGCAACTCTTTGCGCTCTCCTGTTTGCCAGGTCCGGGTCTTTGGTCACCAACGCACCGCCGGTCATGTCCTCTGACACAAGGGCGCGCGGTAGAACATGGGCAGAGAGCTGCGCCGCTGTGCTCGCATGCGCTTGCACAACTGTGATTCCTCCTAAATGGTGCAAGAGTCAAGAGCGCTTAAAACGTTGCGCAAGGTGCGCGGTGTTTCGTAGTGTTTCCCGTGGCTGCGTGGCCCTTCTATTCTGGCAAGTGTCTGAGTGCCCACCGATGTACTTGCTCGCCGAGAGCATGACCTATCATCAGATGTATCGGAACTTGAGGCTTAGCGACTCTCATGATCACCGAGGGATTGCTGGTGCCAAGGGCTGAACCCCCAAAGCCCCAATCCTTGGCAAAGCCTTGCAAGCAACCGAAGCGCCCCTCAAGAGCGTCGGAGAGGTTGAGGGCTTTTAGATCCGTTTCGAGATGTTTGAGTAGCTGTTTTTTAAGCTTCAAGTTTCTGACTTGGCCACCGCAACCTCACTTCCGAAAACCCAACCAAACGAAAAAAAACCAAGGTTTGGTAAGGCATGGTAGGGTATGGTAGGGTAGGGCATGGTAAGGTACGGTGAGGTATGGTAAGGCACGGCAAGGTATGGTAAGGTATGGTAAGGTATGGTAAGGCACGGCAAGGTATGATAAGGTACGGTAAGGTACGGCATGGTAAGGTATGGTAAGGTATGGTAAGGCATGGTAAGGTATGGTAAGGTATGGTAAGGTATGGTAAGATATGGTAAGGTATGGTAATGCCCAAAGGAAGTCCCCAGTGGCCAAATCAACGCCCAGAGAGAGCGGCTGCTGATTCCATGCGGTGGCAAAGGTGTTGTCCTGGGCTGAGGCGGCTGAGGCGAAGAGCTCTGAGCTGGAGGAGAAAGATCATTACGCTTTGCCACGCCGACAGCCTACAAAAGGCAAAGAGGACAAGCCAGGACAACAGCCCCAGCAGCCGCGCAGACCAGCGGAGCCGGGCGTCCCTCCTTGGACAATGGGGGTTGGAGAAGCTTCGGGTGGCTGGGCTCTTCTGGACTTCTGGACTCCTGGACGGCTGAGGCTTGAGGACATATCCAATGGGGTGTTAGTGGGCTGGCAGGGGTGCGGAGCAAGATTGCCAGAGGTTCAACGCCTCGGACGCTTTTCGCTCTAACGCCCGGGCACGGAAAACTGTCTATGCATCCAATCAGCACTCACGCAGCCACGCCGACATCGTCTGCTTGCGGGTCATGAAACTGCGCAACTGACCGGGATTCCCAGAACCCCCAAACCAGAACCCCCAAAGAAACATCAACAACGTAGTCCCTTGTGAAGTCCCTTGCAACCGGAGTGTCCTTGGCTGCTTGTGCCTCAGCTTGAAACGCAGAAGCTGAAACGCAGTGAATGGCTTCTCTCAAGGTTTCAGGGGCCGCCTGACTTGGAAGTGTGCTCGCCGCCAGATGCTGTTTTAATGCTGCGAGTGCTCTGACTTCAGCTTTCAGAAGGTAGAAGAACTCGGTAGAACAAGCAAAACACATAGGCCGTGCCGCCTTGACGGCTTCGACAAGCTTCGGGATGTCAACCAGCCTTGGCGCAAAAGGGTGCATCCCGATGATTTCAAAGCGCAAGAGGAGCTCGGTGGCTTAGTATCTGTTCGATTGCGCAGGTGGCATGCCTCGTTAAAGCAGATGCCACACAAATCGGAACTTCCACATGTCCAGAACTGGCCAAAAATCACATGTCTCGGGGCTCTCATGAATAAGCGTGTGTGTGTGTGTGTGTGTGTGTGTGTGTGTGTGTGTGTGTGTGTGTGTGTGTGTGTGTGTGTGTGTGTGTGTGTGTGTGTGTGTGTGTGTGGTGTGTGTGTGTGTGTGTGTGGTGTGTGTGTGTGTGTGTGTGTGGGGGTGTGTGTGTGTTGTGTGTGGGTGTGTGTGTGTGGTGTGTGTGTGTGTGTTGTGGGGGGGTTGGTTTTTAGTGTGTCTGGTGGGGGGGGGGGGGTGTTGCTGTGTGTGTCGTGTGTTGTCTGTGTGTGTCTGTTGTGTGTGCTGTGTGTGTGTCTGTGGTGCTCTGTGTGTTGTGTCTCTGTGTGTGCTAGTGTGGGGTTGTGTCTCTGTGTGTGTCTGTAGTGTGTTCTGTGGGGTGTCTCTGGGTGTGTATCTGTGTGTGTGTCATGTTGGTGTCTGTGTGTGTGTCTGTGTGTGTGTCTGTGTGTTGTGTGTGTGTGTGTGTGTGGTGGCTGGGTATGGTGTGTGTCTGTGTGTGTGCTGTGTCGGTGTGTATGTGTGTGTGTGTGGGTGTGTGTGTGTCGGTGTGGTGTCTGTGTTGGCGTGTGTGTCTGGGTGTGTGTGTGTGTGTGTGTTTGTGTGTGTGTGTGTGTGTGTGTGTGTGTGTGTGTGTGTGTGTGTGTGTGTGTGTGTGTGTGTGTGTGTGTGTGTGTGTGTGTGTGTGTGTGTGTGTGTGTGTGTGTGTGTGTGTCTCTGTGTCTCTGTGTCTCTGTGTGTGTGTGTGTGTGTGTGTGTGTGGTCTGTGTGTGTGTGTGTGTGTGTGTGTGTGTGTGTGTGTGTGTGTGTGTGTGTGTGTCGTCTGTGTGTCTGTGTGTGTCTGTGTGTTGTGTCTGTGTGTGTCTGTGTGTGTGTATGTGTGTGGGTGTCTGTGTGTGTCTGTGTGTGTCTGTGTGTGTCTGTGTTGTCTGGGTGTCTGTGTGTGTCTGTGTGTGTCTGTGTGTGTCTGTGTGTGTCTGTGTGTGTCTGTGTGTGTCTGTGTGTCTGTGTGTCTGTGTGTCTGTCTGTCCCGCTCTCTCTCGCTCTCTCTCTCTCTCTCTCTCTCTCTTTCTCTCTCTCTCTCTCTCTCTCTCTCTCTTGCTCTCCCTTTCGCTTTCTCTTTCGCTTTCTCTTTCTCTCTCTGTCGCTGTCTCTGTCTCTGTCTCTTTCTCTTCCGATTCCTCTTTCTCTTTTGTTTTCTCACTATCTCTCTCTCTCTCTCTCCTTCTCTCGCTCTGTCATTCTGTTTCATTTGTTCTTTCTCGTCCCCTTCCTCTTCCTCTTCCCCTTCCCCTTCCCCTCTTTCCCTTTGCCCTTTCTCTGTCTTTTTCGCTTTGTGTGCACATGACCTCCCCCCACTAGGGGAGGCCGATTGCAAGGCATGCGATATTGAGTTAGACAGTACAAACAGGCCTGCCTCCCGTTCTCTCTCGCTTCTCGCTTCTCCTTCTTCTCCTCCCTCTTCTTCTGCGCGCTTCGAGGCCCCCCCGCAAAGCGGGGGACCTGGCCTCGACGGCCAAGCGCGCGTCAAGTTCGGAAGTTTGGCCGCTGTTCGGGTTTTTTGAGTTCTTTGTCGGTTCTGTGTCCCCGACTCATCAGAGCATTTACTAGTGCTCTCACTGTCCATGCTCTCCACCTCGGTCCCCCGTCCTCTTCGCCACCCAGATGTTGCCAGTCTGGTGTCGTTGCGTAATTTCCATGTCCTAATCCCTGATCGTGTCGCGGCGCAAGATCGCCTCCCCCCCCGCACCTATGCCTTCGACGCTTGGTGTCTATTCTGCGCGTGCCTCGTTGTTTCGTTTCTCGAACGCGTTGCAAAGTCGTTGTTTTTCCCGGACTGCGTTGGATTCTTGGACTCTTCACCCCTCCCCGCTCTCGGGTTTACCCGAGGCTGAACCAATGACCAATTATCAAGACACATCACCTATACAGACTCAAGCCCAGTAGCTCTAAACCGAATACGGAGATTGTCCAGGCCCTCGCAAGCAACAAAGGACATGGAAAAAAAAACGTTGGTAAAGTTTGGACGGCGCTCTTGGCGATTCTAACGTTGGTTTGGGTACGAGCTGTGGACGCTCGAACCTTTAGCTTCTGTCCAGCTTAGCTTTGGAATTAGCATGGATTAGCAGCAGAATCTTCTCTTAACTTGGGCAAGAAGCGTCAGCAGCGGGTTCGTAGGGCTTTCGACCTGTCTGTGCACAGCGAAGTTGTCCTATAGGCCCCGCAGGAAGCAAAGCTGGCTTGCAGCTCGGCAGAAAAATGCTGGGCCCATGAACAGAGCTCACGGTCTGGGGCAAAACTCAAAGCCCGAGCGTACTCGATGGGACTTGGCTAGGCGAAGATGCTTTCGCTCTGTTGCTCCGGATCCTGCAGAAGATTCGTTCGATAGGGTTGGTTAGGGTTGGTTTCCTGCCCGAGATTTAGGATTTGGAGACTTCGCTCATGCGCTCTTTGCAAGCAAGCAGCCCAAATCATGCCCGTTTCTTTGCACATCTGCCGCCGCACATCCTTCAGGGTCCGTCGGTCGAAGCTGCTTGCTGACCACTTACTCTGTACTCATGCTTCACTCGTGTTTCACAAAACAACTTGGCGAAGGCAGTTCGCAGTTTAAATTACGGCAATCGAGCGTCAGTGCGTGACGGGGGCGGATGTGGGGGATGTGGGGGATGTGGGGGATGTGGGGGATGTGGGGGATGTGGGGGATGTGGGGGATGTGGGGGATGTGGGGGATGTGGGGGGTGTGGGGGGGTGTGGGGGGGTGTGGGGGGGGGGGGGGACCTGGCTTTCTGAATCTTGCCTTAGCCCATCCCCTGTCCCCTGCCCCGACCGAAGCAGGCTTCACGGTTAAACCCTAAATCCCAAACCACGTTTCTCAAAAGTCAGTTCAAATTACGTCAATTCCTTTGTTGAATGATTAAACGAATACGTCAAGATGGTTTTTGTTGTATTTCAGTCACAACTAGCTTCATTTCACCTTAGTTTCCAATGTTCGGACGGTTGTATGACAATTAAAACAAAAACCGGCTGCTAGCTCTCGGTAAACGCCCCGTTGTCCTCCAGGTCATTGAGATCCAAGTAGGTGAACCGCAGATTCCTTCCGAGCTTTGCTACAATCTTAGATGTAGGTCTGCTTCCTCAGGGCAGAACCGGGTGAAACGGGTGGTTGTGTATTGTCTTCGCAGTGATCTTTGCACGCACTGGCCAAATGGGCGTGTGAAGGTTCCTGACACTTGGAAGAGTGCCCGAAACAGGACTAAAACACAGAAGCGAAGCCCCTCTCTCAGATTGCAGTTCGAGGCTCATCGTGCGGCTCCGGATGGTCTCAAACCTGATCTGGCGGTGTGAGGAAAAACGGCCCAGTCATGGGAGTGCAGAGTGTGGGGTTTGCAAAGTTTGCAACGCTTGAGAGGTGACTTTGCCGGCCACCTCCCCTCGAGGCATTTCTGTGGCCTTTGGCCGCCAGCCGCCGCTCCCTCGCTGCGTCCGCACCGCTTCCTTGCCACTCCCCTCATTCTCCTTTTGGGGCTCGGTTTGGAGCCACTCCTCCAGTTCCTTTTGAATAGACTCGCCTTGCCGCTCCTTGCCGCCCCCCACCGTTTCTGCTGTCTTGGGGTAATTTTTCATGCCACAGGAGAAAGAGAGAGAGAGAGAGAGAGAGAGAACCTACTCCATCAAAGTGCGCAGGCAGCTCAGAACTTGCAGGAGCCCCACATGACCCACGGAGGGAAGACTCGGCCCCCAGCAATCGAAAGGTGCCGCCGTAGACGCCCCTGGCAGCATTTGGGATCGTTCTGTCATCTCGTGGTTCATCTCCGGGTTCCATCACTCCAAAATATATCACGGCTCTCAAGATTCCCTCTTCCACTTTAGAAGGCTCCTCTGTCCGCACTGATGATCACTGATGAGTTCTTTGGTTACTGTTACTAGTAGAGGTCCTTCAAGGCCGAACGTGTCAACGCCACGAAGCCTCACAAAGGCTGAGCCCTCGCTCTCCATGACTTTCACCACTCACTACTCCCTGCCCTGATGCCTCAAATGCAATACAAACCGCGGTCCCTACAGCCACACCGAGTTAACCAAAGAAAGCCTGTTGTGAAACGATGCTTGAAACAATGCGCAACGAAATCCGCCGAGGCCGGAGGCCTGAGGTGTTTAGATCCAAGTCTAGGGAACCACTAGGAAGTGTACCCCCTCCCAGGGCGATCCGCCCACATTGCGGCCGAGCTTTTTATGGCCTGGAATGGGTACCCCCCGTAGTCGACCTGTATCCAGCCGCGGCCGACGTGCCGGACCAGGGGGGATTTGTCGGTACCCTTGCCGAGGCGGCGTCGCGTCAGCGATAAAATTACGAAACTTGCACACAAGCGTACGAGGAGGGGGTTAAAGGGGGAGAAAAACACACAAGAAAGAGAGAGAGAGAGAGAGAGGGCCTCATGACGAGCACGTGGGCGCCGGGGTCCAGAAGTTCCAAGGCTAGGGCCGTGGCCGCCATGCCTCACGGCCCCCATCGCCCCCCCCCCCCTCCCTCCCTCTTTTCTGTTGTGCCTTTTTTCGAGGCCTCGGGCCTTTTGCCTTTCAGCCCTTTCTTCCTTTCAGTGCTTAAAGGAAACTTGCTTGCTTTATGCATGCTCCAGAGATACAGGGGGAAGCACCCCTGGCCCCTGACAACACCCACAAGGCCGAGCAAGTCAGCAACAACCTGGCAGCCAAGGAAGCCTAGCCGCTTGCTCGGGCATCGCAGGAAGCCAGACCCATCAGACAAATAGTCACACAAGTAACCCAAGCCCTACACAAGACCTACACACCGTGCATCCAAAAACGAGGCAACATGTCTCTTGAGCCGAAGCATCCGAACCCAACCCTGAAACCCTGCGACAACTTGAAGCGCAGGGCCTGAAGCTGTGGCTGTTGCCCACGTTCCGGCCTGGCAAAGGCATCCCCACCCAGAGCACCCCCAGAGCATCCCCTCTCTTTTGCAGCGACTCTAGAAGCATGCCACCGAGGTTTGCAGGGATCGCTGTGTGGCTGAAGGTTTAAACCAGAACCTCAACCCCCCCCCCTCCCTTAGCCACCCTGACATTCGCCTCAAGATCTGCCAGGGCGGACTCATATGCGCTCCTGACGGCTCCCAGATTTTCTGGGCGCCTTTCGACTTTCGATGTCTATTACAGGGGCAGGGGAGGGTGATGCCGGGGGTTGCAGCTGCAGGGGGCTTCAGGGGGCTTCAGGGGGCTGCAGGGGGCTGCAGGGGGCTGCAGGGGGCTGCAGGGGGCTGCAGGGGGCTGCAGGGGGCTGCAGGGGGCTGCAGGGGGCTGCAGGGGGATGCTGCGGTAGTTGGGGCAGAGACTTCTTATAGACCTGCAAGTGGAACCACGGTTTCCCTCAGATTATCAACAGCTACCTGCAACTGGCCCACAAGCGGTCAGAAGCATCTGAACCCTCTAAAAGCGCCCTCTAAGCACCCGAAGCCGTCCTCGTTGGATTTCCGCAACGGGAATAGCCGAATTTACCCTCCTCGAGCGGAAGGGAAGGCTTGGAACTTGGAACTGTTCTGGAAATCGGGGTGCTCGTTTGAAAGATTAAGGTTTCTTTTGCGTACTGCAGGTTACACCAAGATGTTGAAACCGAAGAAGGGGGAGCCGAGGTAATGGGCGCAATGCGCGAAGCCCTAGCAGCCCGAGCAGAAACGCCCAGCCCCTCAAGCACGGAAGCAGCTCCAACAGGGGAGCGACGATGCCCACAAAGACAAGCAGCAGCCTGGGGTGGGGGCAAGGAGTTTCCTGAATTTCCTCGAAGAGAGCGATGGACGACCCGAGCTGAAGAGAGGGACGCGACAGGGGTCGAGGAAAGAAGTCGGGGAACCATGCACCCCATGCACCTGCAGCTTCCTCTTTGGAAACAAAGGGGTCTTGATGACATCCAAACGGATCCAGGCATGAGCGACTCAGTGAAGAGCCTCATGGACAATCGAAAAGATGGACAAAAAGGGAGAAAAGGGAGCTATCATGTTTCCTTTCCTGCGACGTGTGCGTTTTCCTTACCCTTCTTGGGATTTCACCGGGAGCCCTACCCGTTCGGTGATCAGAGCACCCCCGACATGGACAAGCCCACAGCGTTTTGGATCCATCGATTCCTGGCCCAGATTGGGCTGCACGAAACTCGTGGCCGTAGTGATGGGCGGGATGACGGCGCCATGACCTAGGATCAGGATGACATCAGATGCCTAAGTAATCCTTAGCTTCAGGACTTGCAGCATAGGTCTTAGAATTTTTCAGAAATGGTCGACTCCTTCTGCCCAAAAAGCCTGGATCATGCTGGTCTCCGGCGTGCACTGCCAGGGTATCGAAGCGGGCGCCCGTCCGCGCCTCAGGGAGCTCAAAGTGTCGGAAGCTATAGGAACTTAGGAAGGGGATGGAAGGGGATGGAAGGGGGGAGATGTTTCTGGCATGGTCTGGATGGGCAGAAATTGCTCTGACCTCAGGATCGTTAGGGACGCTTGAGCCTCTCAACGTTTTGGGAGGCACTCGAGCGTCAGATACCAAGGCTTTAGTTTTTGCAGCGTTGGAGGCGTAGCACCGGGGCTCGGGACCCACGAGGGCTTGGATCCTCATCTGCTATATCATCTGCTACGACACGACACGACGACATTTTCTAGGACCTCTCCTCTGCTGCTGCTTTCTCACGTCCATCAATCATCTAATCCATGAGCAGCAACCATTGCGCTTTGTGATTCTCCACAAGGAGGAGGGGGCAAAGCATACCAAGGGTCTAGGAAATAAAAACACTTCGGATCACGGTGAAGGGCCAGTTAGGATCTGGAGTTCCGAGTGGCCCCGGGCCTTGAGGCACTAGGCCTCAACTGCCTCAACCCCTCTTCATTGCCCAGAAGACGAAGACCAGCTCTAAGCATCCCACCCCCAAGAAATGCAGAGCAGCCGAAAAAAGAATTTGAGTTGGGACAGTTGGGAGTGCTGTGGGATTGGGGCTTCTCAAGCACTTAAGCCGACATCCAGAGTCCGAGGTGCCCTAAAAGAGGTCGCCACATGTCGATGCGCTTCCTTGCTCCCCCCACTAACTTGGAAAGCTGCCCCATCGTCCCCTCCCAGGGCCCTCAAGCCACATGAAGACAGAAAGAAAGCCCTAGGTTGGAGGGAACATCAATGAGGTTATGAGGTTTCAGGAGTGTTTTGAACTTCGGGTCAGGGCTGCCAATCTTGGGCATTTTTCGCGAGTTGACCAAGCTCAAGCCGTCTGAAACCTGGCACGCAGAAGCAGCCATTGCTCAGCCATCGAAGCCATAACTACCACAACTACAACTACAACTACTACAGTACAACTAGTACTACTAGTAATACTACTAGTACTACTAGCACCACTACTAGTACTAGTAGTACTACTAGTACTACTGGTACTACTGGTACGACTGGTACGACTGGTACTACTAGTACTACTGGTACTACTGGTACTGCTGGTACAATTAGTACTTCTAGTACTTCTAGTACTAGAAACAACCAAACAACCTCCGAACTCCTCCTGCACAAGCCCTTAGAGTCCACTCTGAGGTTCCCAGAGCCTTCTTCGCGGCGCTGCCATGCGCTTCTGCGGACCCCGTCGCCATGCGCGGGCGCACAGGCTTCGGGCGCTTGGAGCTGCGTTGTGTGTGTCAGATGTGTCAGATGTGTCAAAAAGCTGGGGCTCAGGCGCCAATTGTTTCAGGGCTGTTTTTGTTTTTGTTTGGGGGGGGGGGGGGGGGGGGGGGTTTCCAGGAGCAACATTTGAGTTCCTTGAAATTTCGTGCTCAAGGATTTGAAAGTTGGGGCATCACAAGGACTTCGGGCTTAAGGCTTGAGTGCTTGGATGGCGATGTGAGGATTCGGGGCATTTGCATCTGAGGCGGATGTTCCACGTGCTGAGGCTCGTTTGGGCATAATGCCAGCGTTCCCAAGAGTTTCGCCAAATGAAACACTCAAAGAAACAAACTCGAGACCGTAGTTTCGTAGTTTCGGTTCCCGAAACTTCAAGTTTCCGAGCGCTTCAACCAAAGGCAAAGGGCTGTCCGCAACGTGATCCGCAATCGGCATTGCATCCCCAGGCCGGCACCAGCCCAGGTGAGATCACGAGGCTCTCCTCCACAAGAGCCTTGCCTTTCAGGATCCACGCCTGCCAAACTGCGCGATGGCAGGGCAGGTGTTCGGATGGGCTTCTCAGAGGATCGCGGATGCCCGCAACTACATCAAGGGTTTCCATACAATTGTGCCTGTGAGAAGCCAAGCCAGAACCAACCAATCCACCACCCCCCGAAACCCCAAGCCAATAGTCCGAATGGTTTATTGCGCGGCAAGATGCAGGACTACGGACATTTACGGACATCTACGGACATCTACGGACATCTAAAGCTCTTTAGGTCTTTAGGTCGTTGGGCCCGACCAAGCCCGAGCCCTGAAGGCCGGAAACCTGATATTTTCTCCAAGTCACAGTCTCTTTGCGAGGCGGTTCGACAGGGAAATCCGGGGATGGGGAGGAAACAGATGCACTGACCCTCAGTTTCGCTTCACAGCTCTTTAGGGTTCCCTGGGGATGTGTGGGCTCTTGACGGGTTCATGGGTGTGGGGCTATGATTTTGCGGGACATGGGCAGTTACTGCAGTTACTGTAGCCGCTGGGGTTGTAAGATGGGGGACACAGTCCGAACAACGAAGCTGTCAGCCGACATTGAAGATTGTAAAAATATGGATACCTTCTACTATCAAGCTGTGATCAAAACAGCAGTGATTGCTTGCAAAACGTTGACGGAGTTGGGAAGGATTGAAGATTCACACAAGTTCAAACAGCCAGCAGCGGACAAAGTCCAACAGGCCCCAGAGCCGAGATCCAAGGAGCTAGGACAGCTAGGAAGCCGAGAATTGGATGTCAGGAGATGCTGGAGGATATGGCAGGAGGTCCAGAAGGCTCAGTGTTCCCGGTTCACGCAGAGGCTCTCTAAGAAGTGGCAGCGGAATGTCCAAGGAAGTAGACATACAATACCTAAAGCCACCTAAACAAACGTCTTGCCAGACCGGAGTGTGGGTGACTCCAAAACTTTTGAGGAGAGCGTCCGGACCGATGTACATGTCGGGGCGGTGGAGAACGTGCTCGCGCTGCGACAAGAGCTGGTACCTCAACTCTTGAAGAAGCCGCAACAACTTCGCCCCCGGCACATGTGGCTCGCACGGACATGTTTGTTCTTCTTTGTCACTTCAAGTAGCAGAATGCCTTACTTTGGATATTTCCTAGAATGACCCCGCAAGCTACCTTCCAAATCCAGAGTTTCACCACATCTTGACTGGCCCCAGTGTAGCGATGACCTTCTGAGAAGCTGCAGCCGGGCAGCGAGTCAGCCCGAGAGGTAGTGATGTCAGGTAGTTTCACCTCAATTCTGCTTAGCGATTCTTCGGATAACTGCGATCAGCCCGGGACAGGAACTTTATGCGCTTGCACTGCCTCCCTCTTCACAATTGCCTAACCCCAGCGTCCTGGGACCAAAGCCGTCGGCGTCGCTTTCACCTCCTTGCGCACCGAGCGTGTGGAGGACTTCTGGATTAAGGTTTGCATGTGGTGAGGGCTGCATGTGCAATATGCAATATCTGTCCAGCAAGAAAAGATTTTCCAACGGGGCCCAAAACCTTCCAAGCCTAAACTACAAGACCAGAATATCCACACAGGTCCAAAGCCTCAAACAAACCTGATGGTTTTGCACCTTAAGTGGCTCAAGGGCTCAACTCGGCTCTACCCGACCCTGCGGCGTTTTCAAGACATGGTAGGTGGCCATACCGTGTGTACAAAAACGTGGAATTTTTCTTGTGAGCTGGATGTCAAGCCTGTGATTGCAATTTACAAAATTCAGAGAGGGAGAGAGGGAGAAAGGGG